TAGTTTTCAAAAGAGACTTGTTGTAGACTACTTTTGGTTTTAATCGAGACTTGTTGTTGGTTTGACAATGATTTCTTCTTTTAAATTAAAGTGTGGTTCTATTTTCTCAATGGATTCTAAATAGTTTTCAAAAGATATACAATTGAACTTCAAGAGTTTGGTGGAGGACTTGAGAAGTTTTTATATTTTTGTTTTAGACTACTTTTGGTTTTAATCGAGACTTGTTGTTGGTTTGACTATGATTTCTTCTTTTAAACTAAAGTGTGGTTTTGTTTTCTCAATGTATTCTAAGTAGTTTTCTTTATCTTTTTCCTCGGTAGAAAAAACATATATCTTGATGGGGTTTCGAATCAAGTTAAGATATGCATAAATTGATAAATTTTGAATAGAATAATATTTTTTTTATTTAGTAAATTCAATTAAATAAAAAAAAACTACACTTCCTTAACCCTCGCTTCCCCATTCGGTGAGTTCCCCTGCCGAACCCTTGCCCCTCTTTTGACACGGCTTTTCATCAACGATGGCCACGAATCTGAGTGAAACGCAGGCCGCGGGATCGGCCCTGCGGCTCCGCTTGGCTCCTGATGCCCTGCTTCGCTCCTTCCACATTTTACCCAGGTGCCATCATTTTGTCTTCCTATAGTTCGACTGCGATCCGGATTCCTGTGATTCTGGTTCGTCGTTTCAACACCGAAAGCTTATCTGGTTCGTCGTCCTTGTGAGAATATTTTAGTCGTCAATGCTCAAATTGTGTCAAATTTTTTAAACGGTTTTCTTATTTCTAAAATTATCTTATTAGTCAAATCAATTTGTGCTTGAATATAATAATGAACTCATTCCTGTTTGTGTTCTGCAGAATGAATTATAGACGGAGCTGTGCTGCCTTTGTGAGCGGAGACGGGCATGCTTGGGATATCCCCAATTTTGAGGGTTTAAGGGAGTTTAATGGTAGTTTGAATGGTTGAGCTGAGCTGCTCTTCTTTCTTAATTTTAGACAATTGTTTTGTATCGACATAAAGTCCTCAGTGGAATTTGCTTTTGCTGTTTTATGGTTTTGTAATTTGGGGCAAATTTTATGGGGAATTTTTCTTTATATATCAAAATATATATGGGGAATTTTTCTTTATATATCAATATATATATATATATATATATATATATTGCCAATATATTTGAAATATGTTTTAATCTTGAGTGCCAAATTTGAAGGCTCATAAGTATTGTTTGAATAAGGATTGAATCATATTTGTGGTCGGATTATATTCGAATGTTGTTTGAATTTTATTTAAATCATAATTGATTTTACTTGAATTTTTATTTGAATGTGTTCGAGAAACGTATGTACTATGGTTTAGTAATAAACTGATAATTCCTCCTCTATCATATTATATTTGTAAGGTCACGAGACAATATCCATCTGAAATTATCTGTATATTTGATTGATCATTGTGAGAATATTTGTTGCCTCTTGTTATAGATGTGACAAAATAGTTGTCACTGCATGCAAACTTTACATCTCTTGTGCTCAAGAGGAGTGTTTGAAGATCAAGTACTCGTGAACAATGAAGTGTAGGGGAAAGGGGCAATTTAGAGAAGTTTTGTTCTTCTCAAATGATTTGTTCATGAACAAATGCATACTGGCATAATGGAAGTCGCTATGTCCATTCTTATTGAGCCATAAAATATGATAGATCTTCATGAAAATTTATTCTCTTATGGGTGGTATAAATGAAAGATTTGGGTGGTATAAAGGTATAAAGTGAAGTTTAGGTGTTATATATGTAAAAACATAGAAATTGAATGGTTTTGATGCAAATGTTCCAATTTATTTGGAAGCCTACGGAACATTGTCAATTATGAATTAGATGTGATTGTGCTTGAAAATCTTAAACCATACAAAAACCTAAAGAGTTTGTCCATATTTTCATACAAGGGTGTAAGCTCTGCAAAATAGATGTACAATGCAGATTTGATCTCCAATATGGAGTACATCCGTCTGAACAAGTGCTTGATTGTAAATTCCTTTGGGATGAAAAGGCTTATGTGTTTCCATCGTTGGAGGTGCCTAATAGTAAGGGATTACAAGTATTGGAGGACTGGTTTGATGGAGCAGGTGCAACAACATATGACTGTTTCTTTCCTTGCTTAACTGAACTCTTCCCCACCTCAAGTCGTTGTACCTTTGTAATATGCCAAAAGCAAAGTGGCTTGATTGTAAATTCCATGGGAATGACAAGTTTTATGTGTTTCCATCGTTGGAGGTGCTTATCATTGTTTCAGGCTCTCTTCATTTTATGAATAAAGACACCATCAAATGCTTAACATGCATGATGTAAAACAGCCATGAGGCAAAAGCTTTGCCCACCTCAAGTCGTTGTACCTTTGTAACATGCCAAAAGCAAAGCGGCTTGATTGTAAATTCCATGGGAATGACAAGTTTTATGTGTTTCCATCGTTGGAGGTGCTTATCATTGTTTCAGGCTCTCTTCATTTTATGAATAAAGACACCATCAAATGCTTAACATGCATGATGTAAAACAGCCACGAGCCAAAAGCTTTGCACACAAATGTCACTTATACGAGTTACTGAATAATTGTTACTACCTCATAAAAACTGGAAAAAAGGGGAATTTGCACACAACTCTTTTGTATTTACCTATCTCACAACTAAACTTTCATATTTACCAACATAGCACTCAAATCAATATTTGACAGCAACGATTGAGTATTGGAATTGAGTATTGAATTTTACAACTGAAGCTGAAAACAATCAACCTTGAAGAAGCTGAGGTAACTTATTCAAATAAATGGGAAACTTTAATTAATTTTATCCTTGTTGCATGCCTCTTTGTTTTTTTATTGTATGTGTAGCTTTGTAAATGAATGCTTGTATTTCTTCAGCTCATGATTTGTTGAAACTGCACTTGTTATGTGTAGCTTTGTAAATATCAATCTCATTGTTGAAGTTGCACTTGTTATATTTGTCTTAGAAGTCAATTTTTTACATTTTTAGTTTGTGAAGTGAATTTTTGCTTCTATTGTATCATTTATAAGACTGTCATTGTTCTGTTCCAAACAGTTTAACTAAACAAGGGTAGAATTATTATTTTTCCAGAAACAGCTGCCCTACAGCTGTTTTTACACAGCTGCAACAAACAACCAGCCAGTTTCCTTGTAGCAGCTTCCCCACAGCAGCTTTCTTGGGCAACGCAACTCCAAACATAGCCTTAATTAAAATTTAAATGTTTCTTATTCAAATGATTGTATCGAGATTCGTGTCAGATGATGAAATTTGTTGATGTTGTTTCAATTTTATTTTATTTTTTTACAAATCAGGAAGTGGGCATTATGAAATTTATGATTTTTTGGTTCATGCAATAGTTATTACACGTGACATATTAATAATGGAATCTTTACACATATACCACTTAATTTCAAAGTATTTACATATCTAACACTGAAATTTTAATTTTTACATATAGATGCCACATTGCCTATATAATGAAAAGGCACATCTCACATTTTTCAAAAGTTAAAAAAGTGATATTTTTTTTATGTGAGGTGTAATTAAATACATAGGAATTAGGTGGTATGTGTGTAAATTCATATGTAAGGTCATTTGTGGCTTCTAAATCTAATTGTTTTCTATGGTGAAACAACGCAAAATTGATCTGATTATGTTACATCCCCATTGATGCTTGATAATAGTCTCATATATATATATATATATGTGTGTATATATATATATATATATATATATATATAACTTTCGTATAAATGTTGACAAATGGACATCTAATACAGCAAACGGACCAAACGGCTCAACCAGAAGGAATTAATTGTGAGTTGAAGAAAATAATATGTTTTTTAATGGGCATTTATATATTCATTCAACATAAAATTTGATAGATTTACATATTTCCTGAAGGGGACTTAACGAGTTTGTCTACATGATTGAAAGAGAACAGACAGTCGGTTCTCTATATGGTGCAAAGGCGCACGAAGGATTATAAAAGAGTTTGGAAAATATATAAGCATGATAAATTTTGGGAAATCTATTAAGTTTTTTTGCTTAACCTTGATGCAATTGCTTCTGTAGCTTATTTCAGGCATAGGAATAGAGCTGATAAATAAATATACGAGATTACATTGTAGCATAAGTAGTATAGATACGTGTATGTTTGATGTTTCTAAATAATGGTGGATATATGAATGTTATTGTTTTTGGGCTAAAATGTCAAAAGCAAAAATGTTGTAATGATTTGAAGATAAGAAGTAAACTTCTAATATATTTGATATATGAATGTTATTGCCTTGAGACGAGTTGTTTTAATCAATTGTGTTGCGCATCAACACTAGCTCTACTAGCTCAATTTATTCTCCTTTTAGAAAAGTGATTTACCCAAACACCCCAAATCATTTACTAACTTGAGTCTCTATTTCCCCCCTCCATTTAGTCAACTCTTAGTTACCTAATCATGCTTCTTCTTAGGATAAAGATAGTCCAAACTAAGGTTTAGAAATCAGACAAGATCAATTGGTTTGATTGAGGTTCGGTGATGACTGCCATTTTTGGCTATGAACTGTCCATAACTGATTGAGCTGATGGTTCGACCTCTAAAACGGTGAAATGGTCGAACCATGGATCAGCCTCATGCGATCAATTCTACGTGATCCTGAGCGGCATAAGGACAACACATCATGACGTAAGGGCACTACATCATGACGTAAGAGCGGCATATCAAGGCGTAGCTGTGCTGCTCCTTTATAAACTCGTTCTGTAGAGTTTAAAGCCTTCAGATGCTGGCCGACGAGACTCTCATGTGTTATAGACCATGGACCATGTACTTTAGGAATTTGGTTTTCTGCTATAATAAAATTTAAATTAAGTTAAAATAAAATAGATTTTTAATATTCAATGAAATTTCTTAATATTAAAATGAACAAATTAGCGGCAAGAAAACCGACCTTCTAGGGCCGCCAGCCTAAATAGAAGAAATTATAGGGGTTTTTTAATTCTTTATAGGTTCGCCGACGATTCCCTTGCCGCCTGCCTTCTCTACGCCTCTTACGATCTCCGACGAAGTTCCGGCGGCGGAAATTCTTTTCAGATGGAAGACTGCTGCGCGGTGTGTGCCGAATCCCTCGAGTGGGTCGCCTATGGATCTTGCGGTCATCGGGATGTATGTTCAACTTGTGTTGTCCGCCTCCGCTTCGTTCTCAGCGATCGCCGCTGCTGCATATGCAAGACTGAATGCCCCACTGTCTTCATAACTAGGGTAAATTCATGGTTTTCCTGATGAGCATGCTTCGGTCGATCTATTTGTCCGTGTTAAAAGTTATTGTTTATGTGCTTGATCTTTTGAGATTGATTTAGTTTGGTTTAGATCTTAACGGAGATTGGATTCAGGCTCCATTTGCTTTCTTTCGATTGAATCAACTATGTTTGTTATAAATCTCTCTATTGTGGGTTAAGGATCTAGGGCTCCTCTCTTTTGTTATTTCATACGTTTATGATTAATAATCTAGGCTACCTACCACTTTTGAAGACTTAATTATAAATTTTGTAAAGTCAAAATTATAACGTCTTGCTAAGATGTAATCAAAGGTTTAGGAATTAGTGAATGACTTGGAAAGGAAAATGAAGTTCATTTTACTTGAAATTAAAATATCTCATGATAATGTTTCACTTTTGGAAATGAAGTGTCTAGTTTTAACCAAAACTATTGATTTAATTTATAGTTCTTCTTCATTTTCTACTTGTTATGATCCTGAAGTTCTTAAAAGTTTAATATTGTCTGGATAAAATGCATTGTAAATGGTAAAGCTTGATGTGCCGCCCTTGTATCGCAGGCTTTGGGGAATTTTACTGAGACAAAAGTAAATTTTTCGGAGTTCCCACCTGGTGTTACAGAAGGCCAGCATGGGAAATACTGGTACCATGAGGATTCACAGGCATTCTTTGATGATGCCGACCATTACAAAATGATAAGCGCAATGTGCAGGCTTTCATGTAGTATCTGTGAAAAGAACGCTGAGGCAGCAAGGAGAGGCACCAGTAACAAAAAGCTTAAATTTAAGGACATAGAGCAGTTGAAGAACCATCTCTACCATCAACATAAAATGTTCATGTGCAATTTATGTATGGAAGGAAGGAAGGTTGGTATTGCACCCACTTCTTCCCAAAATCATTTATTTGCAATTTCTTAGAGGTTATTGTGAAAATCATATTTAATACTAGTATTTGGTTAAAATGATTGCTGAATTTGACAAATTGGTTGCTTCTCCACTTTATATAATTGCTTTGCTTACACGACTCATTTTCTTCTTTAGATTTTCATGATCTTATAGACCTCACCATAGTTAGCTCAAGTGTGCATGGTGCTTAAACCGTAGCTTGTTTATGGAATTTCAGTATGTGAAGGTTCTGCTTTTTAATATTCAAATATTATTTTCAGAGTTGAAACATTTCTCTTGCTTATTATGACGATTAGCACCTTAACTATCCTGAATATCCTTGTAGATGAGCAGCTAATTAAAACATTTATCTTTTCTTAAAGAAGATTTATTGATCCCCGAAAACTAAAAATTCTGTACTGATTATTTAATTGGGCTTATATTACCCATTTATTGTTTATATTTTGTTTGTAGTTCTATTCTTTGTTCATTCTTAGGAATAGTTTCTCTTTTCGAGTAAACAAGCATTAAGTTTTTTTTCTTTGAATTTCTCTAGTCAAACTGGAAACCTTATCTTTTTCTATTTCACCTGGATGATGATGGGATCACTTAATAAAGGAATTCCATGTTTCATTTTAATGCATTTGTGGGGGACCACAATAAAGTTATGACATATTTGAGAAAATATGAGAGAATTGTGTTGATCTCATTGGAATCTAATTACAAGCGTGAAGAAAATAAGGAAACTTATACAAAAAAAGAAACATAAAATGAATTAAAATTCCTCTAAATGAAGGGGGGGGGGAATTCACCATCGGAGATTTAAGTTGAGTTATCGCCATAAGGAGCACTCTTGGTATGGAAATTGTTGATTGGCTTTAATTCTATCGTCTGCAATAGTTAGTTTTTTTTTTCATAAATGTTTAGTCAAATATCGGAGAACAAAATATGTCATGTATAGTCTCTCTAAAGCTAATGAATATTTATCTTCATTCTCGATGTTTTAATTATATATTGAAACCATGCATTACTAACAATCTCTCTAAAGCTGGTGAATATTTGTCCTTACTCTCGATTTGGTAATAATCTGTTGAGACAATGCATTATGTGAATGCCTTTGTCAACTGATCATTTGTAGACATATATTGTACAGTTTGCATCTAATTTTATTCTGTAAAATTTTTACTTATTTCAACTTGCTTCATTTTATCATGTTGCACCTGATTGTATAATATGTGTTGTTGTTTTATTATCACAATAAAGTTTCATGTGGTCTTCCCACTTAAATCTTTCATCCATACTAACCTCATATCCCTTCTGCATCTCTCTAAATTTTAATCTTGTTCTACATCTTGATTCTTGCTAAAATTTTTTGTTGCTCGTTATTTATTTGATAGGTATAATATCCTCCCAGGATCATTCATGAATTGACTTTTTACACTCACAGCATAAACTATAACTAGTCTTAAATGTGCAATATAAAATTTCTACTAACCTTTGATCCATTTCTTTGTCATAAAACAATCTATTTTTGCTTTTGCCAACTAACAATACAGATCAGTTGAATTACAAGCAGGTTTACGAGCCAACTTCCCAATTTTCTTCTATTGACAGTTTCATACTTTTGTTATGAAATTAAGATCCCCTAATGTGAGTGAGCATCTTTAATTCTAGGAATTGCTTCAATTTCCTAGCTATTTTGCCTCAAACTCCATATGAAGCATTACTACACAGATTTACCTTCTTACTTATCATTTACTACTACAACTATAGCTTCATGATTCATCAATAAATTTTTGAACAAGGTGTGATGCCTCTGACTTGACTGGTACAATATGGCCATTATTACTTTTTTATATCTTTCCAAGCAAAATGTCACCATTTGAGTCATATAATACCTTTTTAAGTTTGCAGACCTAGTTGGTATCAAGATCTCCAAAATTAGGTAGAATATCTATGTTGATTTTCTCCCTGAAATAACCATAAAGGAATATATGTTGAGGGTAAATTGTTGCAAGTCCCAATGAAAGTTTGCAACTAATGATAGCAGAACTTTTCTTGTATTCATCTTTGCAATCAGAGCAAACACATCCTAGTAATCTATTCCATTTATTTGAATATAACCTTTAGCCATTAATCTTGTTTGACATCTCCTAAGGCTTTTATCGACCATATATTTCTTTATAAACACTCATTTGCATCATATATATTTTTTTGTGTAGGTAGCTCCATAATTTTTTATGTTTTATTTTTCTATTCCTTATTGCCATTGTCTCATATAATGTTTTAGGCATTGAAATGATTTTTTTGCTTTTATTGACCATATATTCATAGCTCTAAGATAAGATTTTAAATTTTTCATTGGCACAAGTTTTTATGATTAATTCTCTCTCAATGATCAGAGAAATTTTCTTAGGCTAGTCATTATGTGTTAAATATTTAACATATTGTATCAAGTATTTTAGTTTTATACTTGAATGTTTATCATCTTTAGCTTAAAGCAGATGATAAGTAATGATGAATATATAACCCGATTGAAGGATTCTTGGTGAATGTTTGTTCTAGTGGATAATCATAAATCAACATTACCTAAAAAATGGCTTTATAATTTTTGAAGTGTACTCCATGATTCACCACTCAAGGGATTTAAACAATTAATGAATGTATGGGCTTTGGCCATGATCATAATTTAATGATGTTATTTTACGGCAAATTACCATGTTTGAGGGTGTTGGTCATAATCATTCTTTTTTGTGTTATCATTTATTGGCAAAATCACATGGTCTGAGGACATGTGTCAAGTCTTTATTAGCTTAAGATCTTTGAGAGTGATTATAGAGATATCTAGTATGAAATTGGTCATTTGTGAACTTAAAATAATATTAAAATTCACTCTTGATATATTATTGTGGAATAATGATGGTTTTTTTTTCTCTTAGTTTTAAGTTGTAGATTTTATTTGTATTTGTTTTTATTTTACAAAATTTTTTGAAATTTTCATATTTCATTGAGACTTAAGCTTGAAATAATTTGTATCGAGATTTGGCACTTTTATATGATAATATCCCTTTTAGTTGAAATTTTTTACGCAACCTTCATCAAGTATTTTAATGACTTCATTTTGTTATGTTCAAAATTTTCAATTCAATTTGTTTGCTTACAGGGAATCAAATTCATGATTTACATGTGATCCAATTTTGTTTGAATATTTTTTGCTTTGTAGGCTTTGTTGACTCAATTCTCATCTATATTTGATTGGGTTTATATGATCTAAAGTCATTTTAAAAATTTGTTGTGATGTACCTCACCAACAAGCTCAACATAGAGGATAGGATCAAGGGATTAACTTTTGTGATTGCATTTGTAGGCATGATATCAAAGTTTTATGCTTTGTGAAATAATTTTTTCTCAGAGGCGTTGAAAGTTGTATGCAAGCATAAAAGCAAAACTGTTTTTAGGGGATCAAATTCATGATGTACATGTGATCCAATTTTGTTTGAATATTCTTTGCTTTGTAGGCTTTGTTGACTCAATTCTCACCTATAATTGATTGGGTTTATAGGGATCAAATTCATGATTTACATGTGATCCAATTTTGTTTGAATATTCTTTGCTTTGTAGGCTTTGTTGTCTCAATTCTCATCTATAATTGATTGGGTTTATATGATTTAAACTCATTTTAAAAATTTGTTGTGATGTACCTCATCAACAAGCTCAAACATAGATGATAGGATCAAGGGATTAATCTTTGTGATTGCATTTGTAGGCATGATATCGAGGTTTTATGTTTTTTGAAATGATTTCTTTCTCAGAGACATTGAAAGTTGTATGCAAGCAGAAAAGCAAGACTGTTTTTTTTTTCTTCTGATATTTGCAAAAAAAAAAAAAAAAGAAAAACACTTCATTCCCAGTTCATAATAATACAAATTTGCTGAATTAAGCTGATAGTATGAGTTTGCATTTTTTTTTTTTTTGTGCTTGTTTAGATTTGTTTTGTATTTGTTTTGTGGATACTTTTCATGCGGTCCGAGTCTTGACAACTTCAGTTTTTAGGACATGGAGGATTGGACTCTAAATGTGAGGCTTCAGACTCCACCCTGTCGTTACCACAACTTCCTCAAGAATTTACATTTAATTCATTATGAGTTTGCGTTCTAAATATAAAAGAATTTATGAATTTTTAAAATAGTTGAATAATTTTTAAATGGTTGTATGTTTCTTGAGGCAAGACACGTTCGGATTGTTTATTTTCTCTCCCTTTTTTAGTACATGCAGCATTTTTCAGGTATTATGTTCGAGAATTTAGCACATTTGCTAGAGCACGTGGACATATTTGATGTGTTTTTTGTAAGCATTCTTGCTTTTGGAAGCGCTAGCACAAAGTGTCATACTTTTGTGATGTATTTGTGTTTGCTTACAATTTTTCCTGTACTTATGTGATGTATTTCTATTTGCATGCTTTTTGATGCATTTGCATGATTTTTGATGCATTTGCACTTTTTTTTAGATGCAATTAAATTTGAAAGCTTTAGACATCCACATCATTTTAAAATAAATTATCTACATTCATTTTTTTTTGCACGAATTATTATTATTAAGACTCTAATTTTGATTTTAAATTCTATTTTTAGTCCGCTGGCATTTACTTTTTTTTTGCGTATTCAGGGGTGATATTTGTAAATTAGATTCAATTATATATTTTCAAGCTTCATAGTTCTGTTTGTATATAAGTTTTATATTAATGAGATGAGGCCAATAAAAAGTCTCTCTTTCGATGACAAAGGGGACTGCTCAGTTCATTTCTTGGGAAAATAAAGAAGATCGTTTAGAATAAATTGTTGATTTGTTTGGATGTTTTTTAAGCCTATTTTTGTGGTAAGAAAGCCATCAACAAAAAAATTTTGTATTATTCGGAGAAAATGTATGTAGTTCTTTATTTGATGAGGAATGTGTAATGTGTATGTGGCTTTTGAACCCCTGAT